ACGAGCGAAAGACAAGACAAAATGGCCAAAATCGATTTTTTCTGTACTGTACTTTACATGGTAGAGCTATGCTGCAGTTATATTAGTAGTATAATTGTAGCAAGAATAAGTCGGCTCGACCGGGGAAGGACCACGCTCTCACAGAATACCAGCGTGAAATAGTAGCTTAATGCTGCTGTGTTTCGTATGGTGAGTGTAGAGAATCGGAGACCCTTTTTACTGGAAACGAGGCATTCCATCTTAATCCTCACGGGTGACAACGCATCTACATTTTGATTTGTAATCGAGGATAGATATAGATGTCCATGGGCCGCAGCAACCACTTACCATCAGGTGTACAGTGTGCTCGTTTGTCACCTTATCCTATAAAAAAAGACTATAATGAATGGACTGAAAATAATTTCTTAAAAATAAAACCCAATAACTGACTTTGGCCTTATCTGGGATTCGAACCCGGGAACTCATGATTAGCAATCGCTAGATCATTATACTACTATGTTAGTATTTCTAGTTAATATGTAGTATGAGTACACGTGTATACGTATATGTATGTGGGATAATTTAGTTAAATGAGTAGTTTATTTTTATTGTTTGTTGTAGAATATTAACCTCCTTGGATTATTGAACTGAAAATAAAATTGTAAGATGTCACTTTTAAAAAAATGTCATTGTAATCAAGATAGTAAGATGTAATATGTTTTTTGTGACTAAATGAAAATAAAAGAAGCAGTATAAAAGTGAGTGTTTCGTCTCAAATTCTTGAAATATCACCACAACTTTGGGGGGCTCGTCCGGGATATCCCAAAATTTGAGGCGAGACGAAGACTAAAGATTTGAAGATTTATTACAACGTTTTGGAATTTGGATATGAAAATTTATTTTAAGGACTGAAAACTTAATGAGTTCAAATAAGCTGTCATTTTGCACGACTAGAAAAAGAAAGACTAATAGTAGTTTGACAACCACAATGCCGCCGAAGAAAGATGTAAAAGAAAGTGAAGATGAAGGGCAGGAGTTAGATATACAGATTTCATTTAAAGACTTGGAGAAGTCAATGAACATTTTTACTGGAGATGATACCTATCCTATTGAGACATTTATTGACGAATTTGAAGATACTGCCGAAATTATGAAGTGGACTAAAGTCGAGAAGCTGGTCTATGCAAAGAGACTTTTAGACGGTACTGCCAAGCTATTTTTACGATCTTTGGGAAGAGTAAAGGACTACGCGAGTTTGAAAAAGTCACTTAAGGAAGAATTTGGCCCCAAGATTAATAGCGCAATCATACATAAGAAACTTGCATCGCGTAAGATGAAGAACGATGAAACTTACCAACAATATTTCCTGTCTATGAAAGAATTAGCACTTCATGGCAAGGTTGAAGACGCTGCGCTGATTGAGTATGTCATTGATGGTATTCGTGATTTAGAGACCAATAAAGTTATTTTATATGGCGCTACAGACATAAAGGATTTTCGCAGGAAGTTAGAAATCTACAGTGCTTTTAGAACGAAGGTGCCTAACAAATCGGCACAGTCTGGCCAATCACATGGGCATCATTCAACCCGTAAGATGACTCATGTAAAAAGATGTTACAACTGTGGCGAACTGGATCATCAATCGCCCACCTGTCCAGAGGGAGTCAAATGCTTTAAATGCAATGAATTTGGTCACAAATCAACTGAATGTACAAGCAAACCTAAGAAGACGCTGAAAATTAGAAATAAAAGTGAAGAAGAGAAAGTACCCTACAAAAAGATAAAGATTAATGGTAAAGAATTTGTTACCTTAATAGATACTGGAAGTGATATTAACCTCATAACAAAATCAGAATTCGAGAAGGTTAAAGAGGGAATTAAAGATTATAAAACAGAATCAACGTGTATAACAGGAATAGCCGAAAAACAAATTCTTACTGAAGGAATGTTTACAGACAATGTTCAAATTGACAATTACTACACAGATGTCAAGTTTCATGTTGTAAAAGACAACGAGATACCGGTAACTTTACTGATTGGAAATTCTATCCTTAAAGATTTCGAAGTGTGTTTCACTCCTGAAGGTGTCTTTATACAAAAGATTATGCATCTTACACTTCTAATGGAGGAAAAGGATAATGAACAAGAATATGATATAGGAGATTCTAAATACGCGGAAAAGATTCGTAAGATATGTGAAGAGTACAGACCTAGTGAAAAGAAGAAAGAAAGTAACGTTGAATTGAAAATAATACTTACCGATGAAGAACCAGTTTTTCAGAATCCCCGACGTTTGTCACCCTTAGAAATGAATGCCGTGAATATGCAAGTAAAAGAATGGTTAGACAAAGGAATAATCAAACCTAGCAAATCTGATTTCGCCTGTCCTGTAGTTCTGGCTGATAAAAAAGATGGGTCACGTAGAATGTGTATAGATTATCGACGATTAAATAAAAAGGTAATTAAAGAAAGATTTCCCTACCTATAATAGAAGACCAGATAGACAAGTTGAAGGAAGCCAAAATGTTCACGTCTCTTGATCTGAAGAATGGCTTTTTACATGTGAAAGTACACAAAGATAGTCAAAAGTACACCTCATTCGTAATACCCCAAGGCCAGTACGAATTTCAAAGAATGCCTTATGGATTATGTACATCGCCATCTGTGTTTCAAAGATTTATTAACGATATCTTCAGCTATCTAATTACCGATGGGACACTGCTAGTGTACCTTGATGATTTAATCATACCCTCGATAACAGAAGAAGAAGGAATAAGTAAGCTAGAGAAAGTATTTAAAAGAAGCGAAGAATTCGGTCTAGAGTTTAATTGGAAGAAATGCCATTTTTTAAAGAAGGAAATCCAATATCTTGGATATATTATTTGTGACAACGAAGTAAGACCGTCTCCAGAAAAGATTAAAGCTGTAGCGAATTTCAAGAAACCAAACAATATAAAAACTGTGCAGTCATTTCTTGGACTGACAGGGTATTTCAGAAAGTTTATAAAAAGCTATTCCCTGATTGCAAAACCGATGACGGATTTGTTAAAGAAAGATGCTGTATTCAATTTTGGTGAAAGGTGTGAGAAAGCTTTTATAGAATTGAAACAAATATTGTGTAACTCACCAGTTCTCCGAATATTCAATCCAGATTTAGAGACAGAATTACACACCGACGCAAGTACTGACGGTTATGGAGCTGTTCTTCTACAAAGAAGCCCTAAAGACAATCAATTTCACCTCGTGCACTATATGAGTAAAAAAAACAACTCCAGCTGAAAGAAAATACCATAGTTATTACTTAGAAATTTTAGCAATTGTTGCTGCCATAAAGAAGTTCCGAGTTTACCTTCTTGGGATAAATTTAAAATAGTTACAGATTGCTCTGCTCTTACTATGACACTACAAAAAAAAGGACTTACCACCTAGAGTCGCTCGTTGGGCCCTGCTTCTAGAAGAATACGACTACAAGATCGAACACAGACCAGGAACACGAATGAGACACGCCGACGCACTGAGCAGATATCCTATCTGTATGATACTTACTGAAACTACAGCTCGTTTAAAGAAAGCACAGAATGAAGACGACTATGTGAGACTGATTAAAAGAATTTTAGAAACAGAAAAATACAAGGATTATATCATACAGAACGAAATACTATATAAAGAGAAAGATGGCAGTAAATTGATTGTTGTGCCTAAGAAAATGCAGTATGAGATAATCAGGAAAAATTACGAAAAAGGACATTTTGGAATCTTAAAAACTGAAGAACTAATTAATAGGGAATATTTCATTGAAAATTTAACTGAAAAAATAAAAAAAAGTCATAAGTAATTGTATTGAATGCATTCTCATGTCGCACAAAAGAGGTAAAAAAAGAAGGATTCCTACACCCGATAGACAAAGGTAATGTCCCACTATCGACATATCATGTGGATCATCTAGGGCCAATGACTTCGACTCACAAGAATTACAAATACATCCTTACCGTCGTGGATGCTTATACGAAATTTACATGGATTTACCCTGTTAAGACTTTAACCACGAAAGAGACTTTAGAGAAACTAAAACTACAACAACAAACCTTTGGAGCACCTGAAAGAATTTTTACTGATCGAAACGCTGCTTTTACTTCAAAAGACTTCCAGGAGTATTGTAAGAGTGAGAATATAACGCACTATACAATTACCACCGGACAACCCAGAGGAAACGGTCAAGTTGAGCGCATCCATCAGATTATCATAGCCGTGTTGAGCAAACTAAGTGCTGATGACCCGACTAAATGGTATCGCCGTGTGTCCAAAGTACAACGATGTTTGAATGGAACATACCAAAGAAGTATAAGAATGACACCATTTGAACTGCTTTTTGGCACTAAAATGAGAGATAAAGATGATGAACTTCAGAAATTAATAGAAGAAGAAAGCATACAGAATTTTAACGAGAAAAGAGAAGAACTTAGAAAGAAGGCCAAAGAATCTATACAGAAAGTACAAGAAAAAAACATAAAAAACTATAATAAAAAGCGAAGAGCAGCAATACCCTTTAATATTGGAGATTTGGTAGCTATAAAAAAGACACAGTTCTCACAAGGAAGTAAATTATGTCCTAAGTACTTAGTACCCTATGAAGTTGTTAAATGCAATTCAAACGATCGTTATGTTGTAAAGAAGATAGGTATCAGCGAAGGCCCGATTAATACAACCACCTCAGCTGATCTCATGAAGCCGTGGATTTCGCCGGAAGACGATTCATCTGGGTCAGATGAATGATCAGGACGGCCGTGTGGGATAATTTAGCAATGAGTAGTTTATTTTTATTGTTTGTTGTAGAATATTAACCTCCTTGGATTATTGAACTGAAAATAAAATTGTAAGATGTCACTTTTAAAAAAATGTCATTGTAATCAAGATAGTAAGATGTAATATGTTTTTTGTGACTAAATGAAAATAAAAGAAGCAGTATAAAAGTGAGTGTTTCGTCTCAAATTCTTGAAATATCACCACATGTAAATACTTACTGTGGTTCGTGTTCAGTAAGTAACTCTTCGAAGTGAAGCCGTAGCGTGTGTGCTGGCGGCGCTCGGACCTCACTGACGCAGTCCACATTGTCAGGGTAGGGGCGTGGGAATCCTGGACTCGAAATTATTGCCTGGGGATGCGTGTGAGTCAGCACTATTGTCTCGTTGCACAGTATCTTTGATGCAATGTACGGATCTGTAACAAATAAAAAAAGTTTAACATTTTATACGAGAGCCGTGGTAGCTCAGTGGTTAACGCTCACTGTAAATATAACAGAACGCGAGTAACCCGGGTTCGATCCCCGTCGGCACCAATGAAATTGTTAATTGCAATTTTAAGTGCTGATTTACCACGTGCTCGGCGGTGAAGGAAAACATCGTGAGGAAACCTGCATGTCTGAGGAATAAGAAAAAAAATATTTCGAAGACATGTGAAGTTCGTCAACACGCATTTGGGCAGCGCGGCGGACACCTCCTTGCCCTAAACCCTCTCAGAAATGAGGGGAGGCCTGAGCCCAGCAGTGGGACGTATATAGGCTGTAACTTTACTTTACTTTTACTTTTTTTATACGGCGTGGAGTCACGCTGCAATGCGTTATGGCTACGCTTGCATCATTATCGTTATGATCATTACAGTACTTTACAAGTCTATTGATGCTATCCATTCATTTTTTAAAATTTCTTACTTTATATATTTTTAAGATGATTCTCTACATTTTGACTGCTTTTTTCAGTTCAATAGTTTTTTTAATAGGATATTGTGACAAACGAGCACACAGTCCACCTGATGGAATAGTTGATGTGGCCCATAAACATCTACATCTATCCTCGATTACTAATTAAAATACAGATGTGTTATCACTCGTGAGGACTAATACGGAATGCCTCATTTCCAGTAAAAAGGGTCTCCGGTTCTCATCACTCACTAAACGAAACAAAGCAGCCTTGCGCTGCTATTTTACGCTGGTATTCTGTGAGAACTTGGTCCTTCCCCGGTCGAGCCGACCCATTCGTGCTACAACTATACTGCTTATACAGCTACAGCATGGCTCTACCTGGACATCTATTTAAGTAAAACGCTGATAAAACTATATTTTATGCCGACTGCGTAAAAGAACTAGGTCTTAAATTTCGTCAGTTTCGTCGCCATATTGTGAACCGATTTTTATGATTCTCTCATGTTGTAGATATATAGAATGTTTCCATTCAAAAATTAAAAATAACTTAAATCTAAGCATAGGGTAGACGTATAGATTACGTTCTAGCTTTACCTTGAGCCGTATTTTACCATGAGTTTATGATATTTCATACACAACTCAAAAGGGTAAAAAAAACTTTATAATAACTTAATAATTCCATATTTTTATGAAGTCAGGCTTTTCTTCTTCGTATAAACTATGTCTTATTACCAACTTCATAAGCTATAACTAAATTCTTTTTTACGTTGATTTTTCCCGAAATTTTTTTTGGTTTAATATTAGCAAAAAAACAAATGAATAATTGTAGTTCGATATAAAAAGAGTTTTATTGTTTAATTTTTATACTCAGTCAATTTATAATCTATTTGGTGGATAACTTTACCGTATGAGGAAGCTCAAGGTCGCTCAGCGAGCTATGGAGAGGTTTATGCTCGCAGTTTATCTGTATGATAAACTTCAAAATGAGAATATACGCTGTTGAAATAGAGTAACCGTATCGCCCAAAGGATCAGTAAGCGGAAGTGACAGTGGGCAGGCCATATAGCTCGAAGAACCGACAACCGATGGGGAAGAAAGGTTCTCAAGTGGCAACTTCATACCGTTAAGTAAAGTGTAGGGCAGTCCCCCACTAGATGGAGTGGAGACTCGTACGATATGCAGGAAGCCAATGGAGGCATGATGATAATTATCCCTTGGAGGAGGCCTATGTTCACCATTGGACTTGACCAGGGCTGTAACTATGATGATGGGTAACTTTTATCCACATCCAAATATTCTTTAGTTTTGTTTTTTCTGTTTAAATCGAATTTACCTTAGTTTAATTTCAATGTAAACAGTTTTTACGTTTATTTATTTTCTTTAATTTCGTTTAAAATCAAAACGAACAACTAAAATCGTGTTAGATTCCACATAATATAATATTTAAAAATTCATTGCGTTGTCCCAACTCAAAACATTCATGGAATGCGCTTTATGAATGCAATATGGCGGCCGACACAAAAAGATACGTGAACATAAGTCGACGCGTTCACTTTGTGCTGAGCTCGCTCCAATTGTCTCTCGGTAAACCAGTTTTGAATACTTTTCATGTCATACATAGGTAACAATGAAAAACCATTTTAAACGGTAAAACTGTGTGTATGTGTGTGATAAAAGGTCAACGTTTTTATAATAAAGTACATTAACTTTACAGCCCTTCACCGGTCCATTGATGAACAAAGGACGCCACCATAGATTGCCAAAAAGCACGGCACTCAGCCTGCAGCCATCGTTACCGTTACAGTCATATAATATTCACCGATGTATGTAGGCCCCCCTTATAGATTGCCCCCATAGGGAACCCTCCTACAATTATTAGCCATAGTTGCCACACTTGGCAAGCGGGTTGGCAAGCTGCTTCCCATCTCCTGGCTTGTTACCCTCTGTTTCCTCTTACGATACCTACGGGATGATATGGTGTAGTGTATATTCTTACACCGCCACTACACGGTTGCATCCATCAACTTGCTGCATAATGTTTCATAGTCACTCCATCTAATGGGGATTCGCTCAAAACTGTATTTCGGTACAAGACGCGACTCGAGAACTTTACTTCCCTAACAATTTTTAATTTCTTGAGCTATATATTGTTGCAACGTCACTGTTACGGGATTATTCTGAAGATGTATTTTTATAAATGAAAACTATATAAAAATGTAGGTGCTGTTATTGAAGTTTTCTAGTGTGCAATATTGTATTTGCTGTCTACTGCGTAGTGCCGGCGTGAGAGGGCAAACTACCCCGTAACATCCCATGGATGTCATAAGAATCGTTATGGAGAAATCGGAATAGGAGAGGGAAAAGTCTGCGTTCGCTGAGCTGCCTGCTAAGCGACATTACGCCGCTGCAAGTAAGGAACTTGATAACGATATTCGTTATCAGCCTCTACACAACTCTAGCCTATCATACACTGAGATGTGTCTCCCCCACTACACAGCACTGAGACGGTTTACTGAACACACTTGTAGTTTCCCACGGTATCACTTACAGTACTTTCCAATGTTGCATATCATGTTTACCAATATACTTATTTTATAATATACATATCTAACTGAAATGACATCATTCCATGCTCCTTTAACAATGACAAATTGTCATCAACTATTCACATTAAATATAGTAAGCTTAGAAGCATAAACACTTAATAATGTAATGTAATTTTTTAATTTTATTTCGGAAAGTTTTAATATATTATTAGTTAATATATACATTTATAGTTACAATATGAAATTTGAACATTTTTAATTTTATATCTGTCATCAAGAAACTTATGTAATCCCTAGGTTTAAACATTTTATTTCATTGACACTGATTTAATATTACCTTTAACAAATGTCACATAAAAATGTGTATCAGTATTTCTGATGTATTATTAATCAAGTATGTTATTATTATTTAGTGAAAACTTAACTGGTTTTTGTCCTAACTTCATTTAAGAATTAATTATCTATTATTATATCTAAATGTTTTCTTTAAATAAATAAAAAAAAAACTATCAGGCCCTAATCGTTTAACGTTACATAAATTCAACTCGGTTAAAGTTTAGCGAGAATAAAACATTTAACTTCGAATTGTAAATCACATTCATTTATCTGGCTAAACTTTTCAGGTGTTTGTTTTATCTTTATTCTTAGTGATTTTTCAATTTTATCTTAATCCCCGAAAAGGCCTTAGATTGCTACATTTACATTTAAATCTTAAGACGTTTTTATTCGAGCATTGTAATTTTTTTCACTGTTCCAACTGTGTTTTTTTTCATGACCCTATTTTGTGCTGTGGGTGTCGTAAAAGGTGATTGGAAATGCCGGAATAATATTATAGTTTCCGATATATGGCGGTATAGCCATCCAGGTATCACCAATCAGATAGTGGAATACTGGCATCCCATACTTATTTACAAAAAAGGACGCAACGGTAAGAACCAGGGTCACGAGCTTAAATGTGCGCCAAAACAGAAAGGAGTGTTCTGAGAACTGCAAAACTTTTATTCATCTATTTTACCCATGATTTTCTAGAAGATAATGCCATAATACATTAAGTGCATTCTTAGATTAAGATGTAATACAGTGAAGATTTTATTAAAATAAATAAATGAATAGTAGTATGCGAATAATTCCCTACACTGCAATATTTCCCCATTTTCTTATTTGAGTGTAGAGTTGTATCTATCGTCATATTTAAATTTCATAGTAGATGGACAGAGTGAGACTGTTTCCCAGTTCCCAGTGTTGGTGCCACGATATACCTCTTTCTGATGATAAAGGTCTTTTTACTTTAATATATAAAAATATAATTTTTAACTTTGACAGGTACCATTTTTGTTTTATTCTCAAAATGTATTCCTTTTTTATAACTTTAACGAAATGAAGCTGCTGTCTACAGTTTTAATTAGCTAGTTAATTGAAGCATATTATTAAATAACAAACGTTATTTCAAATAAAGATATAACAATATTGACAATGAAATAAATAAAATGTTATTAATTGGATTAAGTATAATTTTTCTACTCAAGAATAGTTCAAGACAACCTTATGGCTTCTAATAGATGGATCTGTAAAGATCTTCACACATCCACACCATCTGGTTACTATACACCAATCTGCGATTTCTAGGAGTTTTCTTCCTCGCACGACTTCTTTATGGAATCGTTAGCTACTGGCGATTTTTCCGGGCCGATACAACTTTGGGACCTTCAAGAACTAAATTTTTAAAAAAGATTAAACATAAGTAATAAGACGGAAATTGACTTTTAATGCAATGCTTATGTCACGTAGACTCAACAGTGTGTTAGCCGTGATGTCAGCACATTTTAAACGTTCAGTCCTTTATCTAGTAGCAGTGCTAATGTGTATCCAGTGACAAGACTACTATAACTACGATATATTTATGTGTATGGTTGCCATTACCTAAATTTTAGGTAAAGTAAAAAAAGTAAAGTTACAGCCTGTATACGTCCCACTGCTGGGCACAGGCCTCCCTTTATTTATGAAAGGGTTTTAGGGCGAGGAAGTGTCTGCCTCAATGCGTGTTGGCGAACTTCACGTCTTCAAAATATTTTTTTTTCTTATTACTCAGACATGCAGGTTTCCTCACCATGTTTTCCTTCACCGCCGAGCACGTGGTAAAATTAGCACTCAAAATTGTAATTAAAAATTTCATTAAGCAGCGAGGATCGAACCCGGGTTACTCGCGTTCTGTTATATTTACAGCGAGCGTTAACCATCTGAGCTACCACGACTCAAATTTTAGGTGCTGGATAAAAACTTCACAAATCTCAGACATTTGATTGAAATTGGGTTTATTCCCCGGACACCGTATAAACTTTCGTTTTTTATTTATTTGTCGAGTTTTATTCCATTTTATTTAGCAGTACTAGATCAAATAGACGTTAAGTTAAAGCAAAATGTTGAAGCTATCTCTATATATAAATATAGATCGCTGTCCGTTGGTGTCGCTAAAACTCGAAACTGGCTCAATCGATTCTGATGAAATTTTTTGCGTGTTTGAGTGGATAATTTAGATTAACAATTGGACCCGGTGGAGATATTGTCGAGATCCAGAAATCATCCGCACGAAGCCGGGACTAGTTGCTGGTATAGCATATATATTACACCTTATTATTTATAAATTGTACAATGTTATTTTTCTAAGGCGATTTGGTAAAAAAAATATTTAGGAACGTTCTTCTTTTTAGTATTAAATTAACATAATGAAAATTATCTAGGTCGGCTAAGTAACTATAAATTTTAGGCTCGTTTTAGGTGTTTTACGACACATTAATTTATTATAATGATCTCAACCATATTTATTACAATGTTCACTGTAAATTAAAAGAAAGTTCTACTTTTAACGAGATTAAGTCTCTTTTTAATTTATTTAAATAAACTGGGACTTATTATGTTTCGCTCTTCCTAATTATTAAGTTTTTTTTCATCCTTATCCGTAAACGTTGGTCAATTTACTGACTGTCTCGACATTTTAGTGATCGTAAGTGCTACTAGTGAATATGTAGTAACGGGTTTAAGTAATAGGTCGGGTTACAATCGGTTGTTGCTTTTTAAAAAAAATCAATATCACCTATTACTTGATTATTGCATTTTGATTCGTAATCGAGGATAGATGTTTGTCATCCTATCCTATAAAAAAACACCCCCGTGCTAGTAGCCCTTGGTCCCGACCTGAACTCCGACCTATTTAGTAAAATGCGAAAACTTCTTATTTGTAAATTTATAGCCTTTGAATAGAGTGTGAAAATAAAAATTCTTGAAAAAAGTAAAGGAAATCTGAGATATAATTGAGATTTTATATGGAATAAAACCAATTTTACAGATTTTATTGCATTGAAATTATTTTCACTTATTTTAATTTCCGATGTGACGTTCTGTACAGCACCTATGCACTCGGGTTACGTTCAGTTTTAGAACGTTAATTTCTGGTCTGATCTACGCTGAACCAGCTTACAATATCTTGAAGTCTTGCAGTAGTATGTTTGAGTTGGAATTTTATTTTGTTAATTATAGGAACAATCATCCTTGGTAGGAATCGGTGTACTTTTACTAGAATTTGTGATTTGATGATGCGAGGACGATCTCGGACATGGTTACAGACAGCAGACTTCATCCTGTGAACGTGTCAACCATTATACCACGCGGTAACATTTAAGTATGAGTAACTCTTTTTTGTATACTTTAAAACAATGGAATTGAAAGGAGGCCTTTACTCTAGCAGTAGGACGTATATATTTTTTATAAAAGAAGGGTGACAAGCAAGCTCACAGTCCACCTGATAGTAAGTGAATGCTGTAGCCCATATACATTTATCCTTGATAAAGAATCAAAATGCATATGCGTTGCATCCCTGAGGACTAAGATGAAATGCCTCGTTTCCTATAAAAACTGTCTCCGGTTCTCTACACTAACTGCACGAACCACAGGCTGCTGTGTTTTGTGCTATTTTATTTAATTTGCTATTTTACGCTTGTATTCATATAGTACATGCTGTTACCGTATGTTTTACAAACATAAAATATTTGTTTAGAATTTTGGCGATTAAATCATTAACCATTTCACTGTCCCATGAGTCTTATACGAACATTTCGATTGTTTAACTATTATCTTTATTTGCAGACAGATAAAATATTAATATTCAACTGCAAATATAAAATATCTTGTGAGAGCTTGGTCCTTCCCCGGTCGAGCCGACCCATTCGTGCTACAACTATACTACTTATGTAGCTGCAACATGGCTCTACCTGGACATCTATTTAAGTAAAACGCCGATAAAACTATATTTATAAGCCGACTGCATAAAAGAACTAGGTCTTCAATTTCGTCAGTATAGTCGCCATATTATGAACCGATTTTTATGATTCTCACATGTTGTAGATATATAGAAAGTCTCCATTTAAAATTTAAAAATAACTTACCTCTAAGCATAGGGACAACGCTTATATTACTTTCTAGTTTTACCTTGATCCGTATTGTACCATGAGCATATGATATTTCTTACACAACTCAAAAGGGTAAAAAATAAACATCTAAAAACGTAAAATTGGACTTCAAAGTACAAAAAACTTTATAATAACTTAATAATTCCATATTCTTATAAACTCAGGGCTTTGCTTGTTTGTATAAACTATGTCTTATTACCAACTTCATAAGCAATAACTAAATTCTTTTTTACGTTGATTTTTCACTCTTCGGATAAAATTATTTTTGTTTTTTTTTTTGGGTTTTATTATTTATTTTAGCATTAAAAAAACAAATGAATAATTGTAGTTCCCTTTAAAAAAATTCAATTGTTTTATTTTTATACTCAGTCAATTTATAATTTAATTGGTGAGTAATTTTACCGTATTAGGAAGCTCAAGGTTTGCTCTGCGAGCTATGGAGAAGTCTATGCCCACAGTTCATCTGTGTAATAAACTTAAAAATTAGAATATTCGCATTTGAACTAGAGTAACCGTATAGCCCAAAGGATTAGTAAGCGGAAGTGACAATAGGCCGGCCATATG